CGGTTCGCACTAAACAACTGCACCTCCCAGCCGCGAACCATTTCAACTCCCCCTCCCATTCCTCAGACGACATGTCCATCCTGGGCCTCCTGCAGTGCCTCAACGATGCTACCCGAAGGTTGCAGGAACAGCAACTCATATTCTGCTTGGGAACCCTGCAGCCCAATGGTATCAATGTGGACTCCACAAGCTTCAAAATCTCCCCTCCCCCTACCACATCCCAAAACCAGCCCAGCTTGTGCCCGCCTCCCTAAACTGTCCTTCCTCCCACCTGTCCCCTTCTCCCACCTCAAGCCCCACCCCCATCTCCTACCTACTAGCCTCATCCTGCCCCCTTGACCTGTCCGTCCTCCCTGGACTGACCTATCCCCTCCCTAACTCCCCACCTACACTCACCTTTACTGGCTCTATCCCCGCCTCTTTGACCTGTCTGTCTCCTTTCCACCTATCTTCTCCTCTATCCATCTTCTATCCGCCTCCCCCTCTCTCCCTATTTATTTCAGAACCCCCTTTCCCTCCCCCATTTCTGAAGAAGAGTCTAGGCCTGAAACGTCAGCTTTCCTGCTCCTCTGATGCTGCTTGGCCTGCTGTGTTCATTCAGCTCTACACCTTGTTATCTAAGATAGGGAATGTGTGGGAGCTAGAGTGGATAATTAGAATGTCAAATTAAGCAAAATAAAGATATAGAACGAAGTTTGGATTGGGATAGGATAGAAGGCAACAAGAAAAGTAACAACAAAATTACAAATACCACATTATTTAAGTTGCTAATTATTTGTCTTAAACTTCCATGGCAAGCTTAATAAGTGGTGAATGAGCAAATGTAGCAACTTCATGAAATCAATGGTCAGTTTGATGTGAGATGCAAAGCAAATGGTATGGGTGTTTATTGACCTGTAATTTGTGGAAATATGCAATTCAGCAGGGTATCATTTCTTAACTCTAGGTTTCTGGTTGACATGCAATGGTGTATTTGAAGTGTGCACCATTCTACCCTTGACATTTTTTCTCCAGAAAAGTCTGGCCCAATTGTCAAACATAGTTAAGCATACATCTCAGAAAAAGATCAGTATGATAGTCAAACCTTTCACATGTATTATTTTCAGAGTTGAAACCACTAAATTTCTTTAAAAACTCTATTTCAATATGAACAAATGTCCCACCCATATAGTCACAGAACAATGGAATCATAAACTTTATCCTCAAGAGGGAATGTGATACCCAGAATTACTTGCACACATTTAAACAGTAACACATTAACCAATAGCTAGCAAGAGAAACAGATGTCAGTCCCTCAGAAGGATCAAATTGCATGTCAAGCTGAAAGCAATAAAAACCTGCTCTGTAACTAAACAATCAGTTCAGTAAACTTTAGCAAATATTTTCCTAGCTGCTAAATTAGCAAAAACTAATCTTTCAACCATGTGAAGCACATTTTTTTTTAAAGCAACAGTGAATACCTTGACTGGCTTCTGCAAGTCACCACTACAGAGTGAATGCAAAGGGATTTTGAATGCTTTCCAACTGGGATTCAAATTGTTCTTAATTACCTGAAAAGAGAGAGAGAAGAAACTGAAAGAACAAAATTAAAAACATACCTTTTCTCCAAAGTGTATATATATAACCTATTTTAATCATTTTCCTCTTCCCAGTCTGAGTGTGAGATTATAATTGATCCTATTTCCATTTCAATATTTTACGTGCATTACCTGGAACGTTTGTGGATTTCCTTCAACATAAAGAATGATCACTTAGCTCTAAATTCTTCCCTAAGGGATGCTGTATAATGCTAATAATGGGTGGGATTTATTTTCTTTTTACTTCCCAACATATGAGAAATAAAGCTTTCAAAACCAGGCATCATGAGAAAGTTGAAGCATGCCTGTTCTTGGAGTTTTCCATTACAGTTTATTTTCAAGTGATTCTAAGCCATGTCCCATTTTTATGACACTGTGTTCTGTATTCTGAGCTTTAAAGGTTCCACAGGCACTTTGATAGAGAGAAGGTACGTCTGTAAGAGTGAGAGAGTGTAGGTGATGTCTATGCTGGCTCTTTGTAAGAGCTACTCATATTTGTCCCACTTACCCACCTTTTCCTCGTAGCCCTTCCGACCTCTCTCACTTCAGTTACTTAGCTAATTCTCTTTCAAAAGCCACAATTGAATTTGCTTTCACCACATTCTCAGACAGTGCATTCCAGATTATAATCACTTGATGCTCAAAAATGATTGACCGCATGGAACGTCTGCTTCTTTTACCAATCTCTTTAAATTGGAATCCTCTGTCTTCTGACTCTTCTTGCAATAAGAATATTCCCCGTCTGGACACCTCACAGCTTTCAACATACTATCAAATCTTTTCTATGCTCTAACAAGAACAATCCCAGCTTCTCCAATCTATCCACGTAGGTGAAATGTCTCATTCCTGAAACTATCCTTGTAGATCTTCAATGTACTTTCTCCAACACCTTCATGTACTAAAAAGCAATGTTAAGAACTGGACACAATACTCTAGTCGAGGCTGACCAGGGTTTTATAAAGGTTCATCATAATTTCATTTTTTGTACTGTATGCCTCTATTTATAAAGCCCAGAATCCTGTGTACTTAGAGTCATACAGCAAGGAAACAGACTCTTTGGTCTAACTCATCCACGCTGACCAGACATCCCAATCTGACCTAGTCTCATTTGCCAGCATTTGGTCCATATCCCTCTAAACCCTTCCCATTCGTATACCCATCCAGATGCCTTTTAAATGTTCTAATTATACCCACCTCCCCCACTTCCTCCGGCAGCTCGTTCCATGCACGCACCACCCTCTGAATGAAAATGTTACCCCTCAGGTCCTTTTTAAATACTTCCCCTCTCACCTTAAACCCGTGTCCTCTAGTTTTGGACTCCCCCACATGTCTTGACACTTGCATCATTAACAAATAGCAAAAGCACCACTATGTTTGAAAGTACCAAGTAAGCTATTAGAAATACAAAAGAAAGACTAAAGTAAAATGATCAGTGATGAAAGCAAATTGCTACCAGTTCTGCCTTAGAACAGATGTCTTACCTCTGTTCTGTGCGCTATTTGCCACTTGCCATCCTCAGTTTGTTTGTGTAACTCCAAATAAGGATCGGATTTGCCAAAGAGATCCTGACCAGCATCATGAGGAGTAATAAATTGTGAAACAATTATTGTTTCAATAGTAATAACAAATTGTAGAACAGCAACATTTTTAATTATTGATAAATTACAATGAAAATAATAACACTCCAAAGTATAAAGCCACAAAATAGTGGCAAATGGGACATCAATAAAACATTTAATGTTCTTAGATTAACTATCCAGATTCTAATAATAACACAAATTCAAATCCTAACCGTCTGAAAGTTTGAATTCCTTTATTTTGATATTTGGAATTTAGAAGCTGGTATGTGAGAGTGTGTCCTGGAGCTGTCGGGATGTTTAGAAAAAATAGTTATTGTTATCGGAAGTATAATTGGGTGAGAACAGTGGGGTATGAGAGTTGGAATAAAACTCTGACTGGAAAAATATATGTTTGGACTACATCAAACCAAAGTTTAACCTCTTGTGTTTAACATACACCACCCCCTGACCCCCCACCCTGCCACCCCCCTTATACTGGCTGGATGACTCCAGTCTTATATCATCATGGTAGACTCATAACTGTCCAATAAAAATGGGTTGGCAAACACTCAGATGTATTAAATTGCAACAACTTTATCACATGGTTTAAGAAGACTCATCATTACCTTCTCAGGGCACAGAGATGGCCAATAAATCCAAAGGCACTGATGTAATACAGGGCCTTCTTAAAACAAAATTGGAATTTTTGGAGAAACGAATGATTACCTTATTATCCAGATTCCGTGCTTGAACTTGAAGGTTAACCATTCTGTTGTCTTTCACTTCTTCTGCGAAAATCTAAGAGCCAAAATTTTTAAGCCAAGCATTAAACAATATTCATGATTCTATAATCTACTTCTGTGGCTTTCTTGTTTTAGTAACTTGCTATGATGTTTGAATGATTTCTACTTTTATTGAATCCTAACTTAAAAATTTTGAGCAGTCTATTTACTTCCTTGTTATTAGGTTTACTCACAGCCTGATTAAATTTAATTTGATGCATACCATTTTACTTGCCGTTAATTCAGAAGATATTGTATCTTTTTTGTACTTCAATAAACATTATTGACCACTAATCTTGAAAGTTACAACAGTAGTGATATTTGACCTATGACCTGCAGCAGGTGGACAAATTCCTGGCACCATATCATAGAACATGGTGTGAGATGTTGGGAGAATGGCAGCTAGCTCAGTTGCCTTGACAGTTGTGTGGATCAAATTAAACACCAACAGCATGGGGTTCAATCCCCATTTTAGCTGAACGAGACTTGTGGCTTGCCTCCTCACCTCATCAGTACCATGAAAAGCACAACACTTAGCTGTCATTCACCAATCAGTAAGGACCTGGTTTTGGCCAGAGGACTGAAGAACATGATATTGCGACAGTTTTGGAATTAAAAATCACTCAGGTGGTTTACTTTTGACTAAAATTCTAAGTTTCAAGAGTACACTGATGTACGCCCCAACAGATGAACAATAGTGCTTTTGCCCTAAGGGTGAATAACAGAGATTAATTAGTGCTTTCAAATAAAAAGTACATTTAAACCTTTAAACAAATGCACCTTGCTGAATCATTGGTTGAGCTACAAAAGATAATTTTAAAGCTTTCAAGCAGTTACATAATTAAAAAATTGCCTGAAACATTGCCACAATACTTTACGTAATTTGAACATTGCAATGCCTTAATACACATGCCATTTGCAGCATAGAGAATGTCTAAACCAGATTAGGTCTTTACCGAGATTACTCCTTTCCCTGCAAGCTTTCCGTTTTTCAGCATTAGTGGTCTCATCAGTTTCTTACTTGAGACAATCTGTCAAAACAATGAACCATTATCAGAATTACGATAAGCTATTAATACACATGGTACAACTGTTCACAAAAGAAAATTTCACAATAGCAGCTAAAATTTAAAAGGAATGGGCAATAAATGCTGCCTAGCTGGCAACACCCTCATCCTGTTAATGAATAAAAAAGAAACTATTGTGGTACCAAAGGAAAGACAGGCAGCACAACGGACTAGTACACTCCAGATCAGTTCACACCAATAATCCCTTACCACAATACAGATTGATCATGCCACCAGGAAAGATCAAGAAATTCCCTGTAGGAAGGGGCCATATAAAAATATTGTCAGACAAGACATAGTGAATTATTCTTGCACAAAATCCTTCAAATACTGTTCTGTTAAGAAGACTGATATATTCATTAAGCACAGCAGCACTGAAAGCTTCTGTCAATTGCTATAATTTCACAAACTGATTGGCACCCTTCCATCAGCAAAATAGGATAGGAATATAGTCTCAGAGCTTGACGGGTCAGTTGGGATCATCTGCTGCATTTCTTTTCCTGGCGGAACAAACTGATTCTGGAAAGGTAAAGTCTGCCACTTGTGTCACAAATGAAACGGTCTTTTCCTGCTGGTGTGGGTTGATCTCTGTTCACACACTGTTCACAGGGCTTAATTCTGCTTTGGCGTCTTTGGCAATACATGTCATTGCAAAGACAAATTCCTGTCCAATTGAGTCGATCATCAGCTAGAGAGTTCCCTGTTTGTTGCAGTTATGTTGAGGATTTTTATGTTTCTTTTGACAGTATCCTTGAATCGGAGCTTTGGGTGCCCTGATTTCTGTGCACAGATGTATGTCAAACAGGTCTAAAGACAAAAAAAATGCTCTTCAGCCCATCTGGTCTGTGCCTGTCAAAAACAATTACCTAACTATTTAGTCTAATCCCATTTTCTGGCACTTGGCCCATAGCCTTGCATGCCTTGGTATCGCAAATGGGCATCTAAATACTTTAATATTATGAGGCATTCTACCTCCCTTACAGGCAAGTTCTGGGGTAAAAAAAAAAAAAATTTCCTCACATTCCCTCTAAATCTCTTGCCCCCTACCTTAAATCTATGCTCCTTTGTCATTGATTCCTTCAACAAGGAGAAAGGTCCTTCCTGTCTACCCTATCCATGCCCCTCAATTTTATACATCTTAATCATGTACGTGGGAGAACTTCCACAGGAAGTGTTGGATGCAGGTACAATTACAATGTTTAAAAGACATTTGGATAAGTACGTCAATAAGAAAAAGATTTGGAGGGATATGAGCCAGGCAGGTGGGACTAGTTTAGTTTGGGAAACTGGTCGACATTGATTGGTTGGATCGAATAGTCTGTGTCTGTGCAATATGGCCATGTACCCTTCAGTCTCTTCTGCTTCCAGGAAAACAACCGCAGTCCAGGTATGATACATATCAGCTGTCCACGTGCTACTACTTTTCCACCTGGGATAACGGTGATGCTGACCTTTGCTCTTGTTTGCTTGCCCACATTTGAGGGCTCAGTAGAAACACGTTTATGGTTTCTATGCTGCCAGGTCCTCAGGCCTCAAAACACTCGGACTGCAATAGAGGCAAACGGGAGGCTTCATTCTTGGCCTTGCTACTGTGGCTGATCTAAATCCAAGTGCAATCCAGCCACTGTCAAAAGAGCATTATTAATATTAACCTAGCTTTTGACACCTTTACATTTTAAAGGTAATAAAAATCAATATTACACTTCATTCATTCATAAAGCATCAAATGAAGGGGAGACAGTGGTGTAGCAGTAATGTGATTGGACTAGTATTCTAGAGGCCCAGGTTTCTGTTCTGTGAACATAAGTTCACAGAATTTTAAAAATAATCAATTGACAACATCTGGAATTGAAAGCCAGTCTCAGTAATGGTGTCCATGAAATTGTCATCATAGCATCCCTACAGTGTGGAAGCAGGCCATTCGGCCCATCGAGTCCACACCGAGCATCTCACTCAAACTCACCACGGGCAATTTAGCATGGTGAATCCACCTAACCTGCACACGTTTGGACTGTGGGAGGAAACTGGAGCACCCGGAGGAAACCCACGCAGACACTGGGAGAATGTCTGTGTGGAGTCTGCTCAGTCACCCGAAGCTGGATTCGAATCCTTGTCCCTGGGGCTGTGAAGCTGCAGTGCTAACCACTCAGCTACCGTGCCATCACTGATTGTTGTTAACAAGCCATCTGGTTCATGAATGGCCTTTAGGGAAAGAGATCTGCCATCTTTACCTGGTCTAACCTGCATGTGATTATGATTGATCCTTAACTGCCCTCTGAAATGTCCAAGCAAGCCACTCAGTTCAAGGGCGATTAAGAGTGGGCAATGCATGCTGGCCTCACCAGTGAAACAGCAAAAACAATAAGCAATGGTTTTTATAATCGGTCCATCCTTTCAATTTGGCTTGATATCTCAATACAACAAAGTCCAAATTAAGGGATACCAGAGAAAATTATGTAATTAATTCCAACTTACGTTGGTCTTCAAGATTGGCAGGGCATAGCTGCCGCTGAACAATGAGCTGCCTTCAAAGAGAAAATAGCTTGAGTACAATTTAAGTACATCACCATGAACAATGATAGAGGTAGATAGTAAGGAGACTTGAGAACCAGGCTGACTGCAGAATGTCCAAGAGTTGATTCTTCAACACCACATGCTAAATTCTTTTACATAGGTACAAAATGACATAAGGTCCTCCCATTGAGGACTGTTATGAAACGGATCATTCAGCTTTTACAGAAATGTTTCTACAGTAGACATATTACCCCTTAAACACAACAGCAGCAGCAATTAAAACAATGCTGCGATTAAAATGTTAAAATCCGAAGGATATATTCTTGTGATTAATAGATCCAAAACCAGTGGCTGAGTATCTGATTTCCTGATAAACATGTTCCAATGTGTGCCACAGCCTGACGACAGACCTAAAATATGGGGTAGAGTCTGCATCAGAAGATGTGGTGTCTCAACAGCCAAAGAGACAGCCCATGAGAGATCACCACTGCCTCGTTTTGGGTAGGCCCACAGGCCACTCAGACAATGGGGAGGCCAGCAGTAGGTGTGCAGCAGAGTCAGACACTCGTTGGGGTGGGGGAAAGAGATCTCACCCACCAAGAACTGCCAGCCTCTCATGGTCAACAGTGACAATGCGGAGATCAAGGCTTCAGAGTCGCAGGACCATAATGACCCAGGCCAAAAGGTAACTCATGAAAGGAGAAGTTTTACAGGAATGGGAAGGGCAGGGAGTTATAAGGGGGAAGGGGCAGGGCAGGTCCCTGCTCCTGCAACACCCCACCTACTGATGTTGTTTCACACCGTAAGACACTGAGTGCCTTTGATCAAAAGAAACTCCTTCCCCACCCCGATGGAGGACCTGAAAAGACGGTCGCACAGAGGTAGTTACTACACACAATACATAGCAACATGCCCAGCTACAAATGGGTTCAAGGTATTGCAGATGTTTTCAAATCAGAGATGTTATTACACACCTTTGGAGCAGATGAGAATTAAACATTGGCCTCCTGGCTCAGAGGTAGGGACACTATCACTGCCAAAGGGTCCCTACAACCGAGTTAAAAAAAGCAGGGATGCCAGATGAGGCCCGTAAATGGTCTTTAAACAGCCACTTAATATCATTCATTAACTGCAGTGAGAGGTCACTTAGATACTTTTCCACAACCCACACACAAAACTTAACTGTGGTGAAGGCAAAAAAAATGGATTGCAGTGGCTGGGGATTGGGGGCAGGTGGGAGAGTGTAGTTCGGGTACTATCCCAGGTCCTGAATGTCTTCATCCAACTTTTATCTTTAAAGCACCCTTCTTACTGGCCTCTTGAAATCTACCCTAAACTAACTCCAATTTAAAACCATTTCATTCTCCACCTCAAACATTATCTAAATACGGAGATGTTACTCAATTGATGCTGCAGGATAAAGCCATTCATGGTTAGGATTAGATGATTTATTTAAAGACGGGGAGGAGTTGGGCAGTAAAGACAATTAATGAACAGTGGTGGAGCTAGAGGAACATAGCAGGCCAGGCAGCATCAGAGAAGCAGGTAAGTTGACGTTTTGGGTCAGAACCCTTCTTCAGAAAAGGGCCTTGACCCGAAATGTCAACTTTCCTGCTCCTCTGCTACATGGCCTGCTGTGTTCCTCTAGCTCCACACTTTGCTATCTCTGATATCTTTGTTATCTCCAGCATCTGCAATTCTTGCTATCTCTCTGATGAACAATGGCAGACATTTTAGAAGAAAAGTAGCTCATGACTCCCAACAAAGATATATTCCAGTGAGGAAGGAGGATTCTAAGAAAGGGATAAACCAAACATGGTAAACCAAGGAAGTTTAGGAATTTGCAATTAATCTTTGCCACTTGAAAGCCAAAGGATTGGGCGAGTTTTGAAAACCAAAACAAAGGGAGAAAATAAATACAGTTAAACTAACACCCAAATGCAAAATAACAGTTACTTTAAATACATAAAGTAGAAGAGGGAGGCCAAAGTGAATATAGGCCCCTTGAAAAGGAAGCTGGGGAAGAAATAACAGAGAACCAGGAAATGGCAGTACAACTGAATAAATGCTTTGTATCAATTTTCAAGTTAGAAGACACTAATAGTATTCCAAAAATACTAAGTTTGCAAGGGCAGAAGGTGGGATAAGGAAGTAATACACTGATCATCACGACAGAAAAGTTACTAGGGGAGCTAATGGATTGTATCTTAGAATTTTAAAGCCATGGTGGCTCAGCGGCTAGCACTGCTGTCTCACAGTACCAGTGACCTGGGTTCAATTCCAGCCTTGGTTGTATACTTGCCTTATTTGTCGTGCTCAAATACGCTACTTCGTATTTCTTCAAGTTGAATTCTATTTGCAACACTGTAGTGAAAGGTTGCATAACTGTCTAACATTCAAGATTACAGATCAATCTCCTTCTGCAAAATTTTAAGACAGAACTAGTTTTG